AACCGAAAAACGTGGAGTTGAAAAGAAAAAAAAATGAAAGGGGACAGTTTAAGGAGTGGCGTGTAAAAACCTCTGTGATACGAGGTTGTCCTTAGTTGTCTAAGGTTACTGGGTGAAGATATTAACTAAACTCCCCACGCAGTCAGATGTGGCCGAATTTAATTTGGGGTGAACTGAGCCCGTAGGCCTGGGCAAAAATTCCCCGTAGATTCCGTAAAAACGGGGTCGGCTAGCTATCTACCTACCCCAGATGACACTCTGCCCTTCGGCACTGCTTTCTCTAGGTTCCTATCTCCCCGGAGGCAGAGAGTTTGACAAACACACAGTGGAAGACCACAGGGAAGATATTCACTAAACTCTCTACGTGGTCAGATATGGCACAAGGCCGTATTTTATGTAGGGTGAACCGAGCCGTAGATTCTGGCAAAAATTACCCGTTGACTCCGTAAAAAAGGGGTTGGGTAGCTGTCTACCTACCCTAGATTAGGCTCTGTCCTTCGACAGAGCCTCGTCTGGTTTCCTCTCTGCCTCCGAACAGAGAGTTTGACAAGCACACCAGGAAGTGAATTCCACAGTGAAACGCAAGAAAAGAAGAGGATTCATACCTTTTCCCAAGTGTATTAGCATGTAAGTGAATGTAATAGATTTGACTAGAATTCGAAGTGACCGAAATACATTGCGGTCACTTTACATGAGCAGAGCGTGGATGTAGTATTAAGCAAAACCCCCGTGAATTCAAACGACAAAAATGTAGTAAAAATGTGTTATTTTTATTGTTTTCTCATGTATATTATTTGTTTGACAGCTGGCAATTTTTATTTTAAGACATTTTTTCAACATACATTCTAAACAGTGTAAATTTTGGAATTTTAAACATAACACAAGTTATAAAAATGCCCAATATTAGACAGTTTTTCCTAAAATAAACCCTTATTTTTTTCATTTTTAACTATAACCCAATATTTAAATGTATGTCTCTACAATTTGTATAGCTCATTGCAGTTGAAATTAAATTATTGATCTCGAAAACAAAAGAATAAAGCGGAAATATTGTATGTTGAAAATCATTTTTTAACGTTTGAATTCAGTGTAAACCAAATTGTGATATTTTTTTATATACCGTTATTATTACTATTAATAGTATTATTATTTGGTGTATATTTTTAAAACTACAATTACATGTTATTAATTATTAAAATCATTATCAACTTTAAATAAATCTTTAAACTGTAACGTATAATGTATTTAATTGAATTTATTCTATAAAAATTTACTCACATTTTATAATCGTGAAGCATTATATTACGAGGTCTCACAGAACATTTTAAACGATTATTTTTAGTGTAAACTGTTATTCAAAATGTAGTAAAAATTTAGTGTTATTGAAAATAGGAGGTTGAAACTTGATATTCCGTTGTTTTTTTTCTCAACTTGATGTTTGTTTTTTCTTTGTCTAAATCCGTCATGGATATATCGGGTTTTGCAGCAAATCCAGTATGACGCTTATCGCGTCTTGCAACAAAAAATAGGGAAAATATCACAATATGTAAAAAATGATTTTGATGTGTAGTAGAGTGGTGAAATGCAAAACCCTTTCTGGTGTTAACGCAAACATTCTGATAATGGCGTTTATCACGTTTTGCATTCGAGCTCTTCATATAAACCCGGCTACTTATTTTGTCATCATCATCATCACTATTATCGTTTTTACTTGTTATGTTCACTTCCACATTCTGGCGTAGTATAAGAAAATAAAATAAAAAAAAAACATTTCTACACGTACACACAGATACACAAATAAAATTCTTCTACATTGAACTTTTTGGGATTGCTAAGAAGGTCCAATAAAATATAATTCCTGACAATTGAATTACTTCATACTTAGTTGTGATTAGTCACGCTGACTGAACCATTATACTCACAATTTTCCACACAAAAAATTATATTTTTGGGGGCTAAACATAATATACCGGATCACGTGACCATATTAATAATTCTGAAGAATTTATTGGCATAAAACGAAACATTTCTCGCAGTCCAGTTAGATGCGAGATATATCACAACATAAGCGCATCGCTCTCAAATTATGAACTTTGGAAAGTCATAGAACAGTGACAACTGTAAAGTTGGTGTAAATAATTATTCTTAAAGACACCAATTGCATTTTAAACATTTTCTAATATCCCGCTTGATATATATATATATATATAGTGTGTGTATTTAGGCAGCATTTTTTTATTAGTGCATGTTTCATTAAATAATATAAACAAGTTTTGTTTATTTATTTTAAGTAAATTCCTTTCATATTGTCTGATAAGCTTAATAACATTATCATTAAAAGATGAAAGAAAAACACCATATTGATGCATGTTTTTAATCCCATCTAAGCATTCGGCTTACATAATTCATTATCAAAGATGACAATTACATTTCACTATATTAAACACTACTCGGACAAACAATAATGATAGTCTGTTTTTGTTGCATAAAAGATTTCTAAGCAACGACAAACTTCTTCTGCGTCTCGTATACACGGGTTTGTTATTAAGATTATCAGACAATATGAACGAAATTTACTTAAAATAGACAAAACTTGTCTGTCGTTTAATGAAACATGCATAAATATATATATATATTATAATTTCAAACAGGATATATATATATATATATATATATATATATATATATATATATATATAGTAAAAGTAACAAATATAAACCAAAAATGCATCCTAGTAATATAAAATATAAAAACTGATCCACAAATATAGAGCTCAATGTATTTATTACAGAGCAAATAATTAATAAACAATGAAACCAAAATCGCTTCAGTAAATTGGTTTGATTGATTTGGTTTAGCGAGATACCAACCTCAATGGGTTATTTAATGCTGAAATCTGAATATTTTGAAGACAAATGTATGGCTCCAACTACAGATATAATGTTTTTTTGGTTATTTTCGTATAAAATGTATTGTTTATAGCTCTACTATAAAGAAATATCGTTTGTAATTTCACTATAAAAATGTATTTTTATTCCTTCATAGTTTTGGAGGTTCACTATTTGTCCATAGCTGGGCCCCTAATAAGTGCTATCATCCCCGGGTTTTGGGTGGACCTGGGAACAACGACAATTAAGAGGTGGTTCCACCCTACTCGAAACCTCCAATCTCTCGAACAGAGACATTACTGCTGGATGTAGTTTATCGTCATACCCAGGGCAACACTCAGTATATCTGGGTTAAATAACAATTAATGCTGGACTTATCTTTTGTTGGCAGACAATTTAAGACTAGGAGCTGTGTGTCCTAATGAAAAAATATAATCTATAAATTCACCGAAGAAAATTAGTGGGGAAACTACTCGATTTTTATTTATTCCAAGTTCACATGTTAATTCCCAGAAAATAAATATGATTGATTGAATCGATTTCTATGGTTGATCAACCTTTTGCATATTATTTTTTTATTTTCTTCCAAGCATATCACTCCAGGCAAGGAAGGAGTACCACTAGCACGCAAGGAGTTAAAGTGAGAGCTGGAGTAAAGAGGGTGTTTGAGTAAAGAACAAACAGAAAGGCAGGGATCAATATCAAGCATCAGAAAATGTCGATTGACATTACATTTGAATATCTGAAAGTTATAGCGATCAGTGAAGCAAGTAAGAGAGGGGGAGTTTTCTATTGACGGGAAGTGCGATATAAGAAGCTGTTGGAGCAGAAGAGACGGCTATATTTAACCGTTTCGACAGTGAAAGGGTGGGACCAAGATACTAACCTAGTAGCACGCTTAAATTTATACAGTTCAGGAACCATTGGAAGTAGCTTGTCAGTATTTGCTTTAAAGGTACTTGTAGAAAAGGCATAAGGGAAGCCACAGCACGTCTGTCAGAGAGGGACTGTAGACGAAATGCCAGATTACGACTTATAACATTGCATATTCGTCTCTGGATTTTGTCGAGGACCTCGAGATGAACAGCGGGGGCACTAGACCATATATGGCAGCAGTAACCAATACAAGGACGAATGGCTGATTTGTAGATTTGAAGTATGAACACAGACGAAAAAAAACCTTCTGGCGCGAGGCAGAGAACCAACTTTCCTTGTGGTAGATGTAACTATTGATTCAATGTAGTTGTTCCACCTCAGGACAATTGAAAGCGGGAAAATATTTTTAAATTGCAAGAAATTTTTTTTCTGTTTCTTTTTTTTTATGTGAGATAACAATTAGTCATGAAATTTTTACTAATTAACACATAGCTGTGGGAAGAGGAAGTGGATTAATACTTATCTCAAAGGGTATTTGCGCAAAAAGTGGCTATAACGAAATCAACAGGAAATGGATCTCTGCTCTTCGATTAACAATTCCAAGTCATTATACATTACATCACCCGCACATAAAAGCTTACAGTAATTGGTATTATCAAGCGGACATCTGTCTAGGTACTGGCCAGCCTCGACGTTGCTTACCTTCGTTGATGTTACAGAAACCGGTGTTTCAACGTAATGTGACCCTAAGCTCTAAATAATTAAAGAAATCTGAAGGGCATGATATGCTACACACTGAAGAGAGTTGGTAACGAAAAGTAAAATAGAGCAGGTTTAATATCTAGTTGGGTCCAGATAAATCCCAGGATTTTCTCTCCTGACCTAGTCATATATCTGAAAACGCAACGTTGCCAATTAGTCAATAGAAATCAAACATTTATATAATAATGTTGAAATTATGCGAGAAATTAAAAGAAAGAACGAGAAGAAGCGAGAAAAGGATGCGATGTTTGTATGATTCTGACTGTTATTTTCACTTGAGACTGTCGCGTGTCAGTGCATGCTTTGCCCACGGTAGAGTAATTTGATACGTCGCACGACCACTCTCTCAGTGCCTGGACGACAGCAGTCGCCAAGACAACAGCCCTACGAACGAGGCGTGAACGAGAAATGGTGACGTTCTTTGTCAGCATTGACAGAAAGCAAAGTGATTTACAAATCGATTAATCCATAAGAATCTACATCATGATGAATCTATCGTCTCGCCTGTTTTCCACCTGCCAAGCAAAATTATTAACTCTCTCTTCTGCAGGGATCTATCTATCTATCTATCTATCTATCTATCTATTTACCTTTCTATCTATCTATCTATCTATTTACCTTTCTATCTATCTATCTATCTATCTATTTACCTTTCTATCTATCTATCTATCTATTTACCTTTCTATCTATCTATCTATCTATTTACCTTTCTATCTATCTATCTATCTATTTACCTTTCTATCTATCTATCTATCTATTTACCTTTCTATCTATCTATCTATCTATTTACCTTTCTATCTATATCCTCTATTTACTTTCTATCTATCTATCTATGTTGCCTTTCTATCTATCTATCTATCTCTTTCTATCTATCTATCTATCTTTTACCTTTTACATCTATCTATCTATCTCTTTCTATCTATCTATTTTGTCCTTCTGTTACCTCTCTCTCTATCTATCTATGTTGCCTTTGTTACCTCTCTCTCTATCTATCTATGTTGCCTTTGTTACCTCTCTATCAATCTATCACGTCCTCTTACCTGATTTCACTTTTTCTATTGTATATGTCCATCTTTCATTATTTATTTCTATCAAGAAATTTATCACATGAACATTTCTACTTCTCATCCCTTTATCTCCGATTTCTCCTTCATTCTCCGCTCCTATCCCCACTCCTCATTATATTTCCCCCTCTGTATGAACTGTTAACTGCTCTCAGTCATTTCCCTCCTCCATTATCTCTCCAAATCATATTCCCCGTACCATATCATTACATCTTATGTTATCTTCTATCCGTATAAATCTGTTCAGATATTTGAGACTTGAAGAATTAACAACTTTACTTGCTTTGGGTTTGTATATCTTCGTCTTTCTCTGGACTAATTTGCATACAAATAGATGCATTTCATGTATATGAATGATGCTAAGAGTATGACGTCATCAGAATGATCCTTCTCAAGGAATTGAAATAAGTACTGCATGGTTTGTGTACACACACACACACACAGGGTGAATCAAAAATACTTCTACAGACTATGGAGAGAAAAAAGGAAAACTTTTCTTATCGACGCGTTTCATCCCATGAAGGACGTTATCAAGATAATTGTATAATCTGTCATTAATTATTTTTACTTTGAAAAACGCATGATCTTCATTAAGACTATCGAATACACAAGGCGATAGACATAAATATACACAGTTGCAGTAATATATTTTCCTGTTGTCTTTATACATTTTATACAAATGCTTCTTTTACAGATATAATCTATCAGAATGCGATATATATATATATATCTCCATTTGTCTTTAGTAATTTCTACCTGTTTCTAAACTTCATATTCCTTTTAATACATATATATATATATATATATATATATATATGCATTTACGATGAATATATTTGCTTATCTTAGTTTGACACAAGACTCCAATATTGGAGCACGCCTGAAGATCAAACTCGCGCTACTAACGAATTTGCCCGTGAGACAATATTAATCATCCCCCAATAAAAATAGTTCAAACTCTTTATAAATTAAAAGATCAATCTATCTTCCTGAATATTTACCACAGCTACAAATAAGAAAGCTTTGCAGTACAAAAACAAAACTTCTTGATGTTCTCTCATGGTACGTTTCTTCGATACATGAAATTCAGGACTAAAACAGACGCGTAGGCTTCTTAAATCGAGCGTAAAAATCACTCAAGTGGTATGGAATTTAATCCGAAGGACCAGAGTGAGAAAGCCGAGCCTACCAAAACAACAAAAAGTCTAAATATATATATATATCTATCTCTATATATATATATATATCTCTCTCTCTCTATATATATATATATATATATATATATATATATATATATATATATATATATATATATACCCATATATATATATATCTATATATATATATATATCTATATATATATATATATATATATATATATATATATATATCTATATATATATCTATATCTATCTATATCTATATATATATATATATATATCTATATATATATATATATATATATATATATATATATATCTATATATATATATATATATATATATATATATATATATATATATATATATATATATATATATATATATATATATATATATATATATCTATATATATATATATATATATATATATATATATATATATATATATATATATATATATATATATATATATATCTATATATATATATATATATATCGTCTTTTTTATATGACTATATATATATGTATTGAGTTATAAATATCATATGCATATATCTCTCCTATATATCATTTATATATTCTGTATTAGAAATGCATACAGAATCTGGGAGAACATACTCAAAATCATATATCTCTAGCTTCTCTCTCTCTCTCATAAATATTGAAAAAGTCCCTACATCTTTAGCGTGTTCTTCATTATAAAAGATAACAGCAGAGATAATGGTAGAGGCAAAAGAAGGAGAGAGGAGATAACAGCAGAAATAGATGGTGTAGTGGAAGACAAAGATTCAGAGAAGAGATAAGCGCCTAGATAGATAACAGTAAATAGATGGGACCGCTGGATGATTCCAAAAGAAAACAGTGAAATACCAAAACTTGAGATAGAATGACTATGGAAAGCAATTGTATTTTTTGTGCAGTGCACATTGATAGAAACAAACAGCCAGATAGATGTCAGCAGACGATATTAAATTGCAGTTCCTCTATCTTCCTTTTACATCGGTTGAAAAATGACCGTAAGTTATCCTATAAATTCCGTTTCTTTCTACGTTGATATGAACGAATAGATGTAGTGACATCATTCTCTATTCATTTGTCTACATTGATATTGTGTGACTCAAATGATACATTGCGCATAACCATCATGTGTCAATATACATATAAGACTGAATATCACGCAATAGATTCATTTTTATAACTATCGATTAACTTATACAAATATTAGTTAGTAGTTCCAGATTTTTATGTTCATATCAGCATATTCACACACACACACACTATATATATATATATATATATATATATATATATATATATGGCATACTAAAATTTTCTGCTCTTCATTGCCTCAACACGTCCATGACTTTCGATTCAGTTCGAACGTCTCTCTGGGCGTCCATTTCGGATCGAAAGTCTCTCTGGGCGTCCATTTCGGATCGAAAGTCTCTCTGGGCGTCCATTTCGGATCGAAAGTCTCTCTGGGTCGTCATTTCGGATCGAAAAAAATCTGGGCGTCCATTTCGGATCGAAAGTCTCTCTGGGCGTCCATTTCGGATCGAAAGTCTCTCTGGGCGTCCATTTCCAGGATCGAAATTCTCTCTGGGCGTCCATTTCCGGATCGAAATCTCTCTGGGCGTCCATTTCGGATCGAAACGGATCTCTGGGCGTCCATTTCGGATCGAAAGTCTCTCTGGGCGTCCATTTCGGATCGAAAGTCTCTCTGGGCGTCCATTTCGGATCGAAAGTCTCTCTGGGCGTCCATTTCGGATCGAAAGTCTCTCTGGGCGTCCATTTCGGATCGAAAGTCTCTCTGGGCGTCCATTTCGGATCGAAAGTCTCTCTGGGCGTCCATTTCGGATCGAAAGTCTCTCTGGGCGTCCATGCATCTACCCATCTCTCTTGCTCTTATAGACGTTCGCAGTGGCAGATTTTTGCCTGCAAAATTAACCTGTTATGTTACTCTGCAGATTTAGTGATTGCTTAACAAACAAGAACGCCACTCTATCATGATTGCTCCAATCTACATCTGTTCATGTTCATAGAGAGAAAAAAAACATAGCGTTTCATTTACAGTGTGTCCGAGCCTATACGATCATTCCTCACCCAAGATTCGGCATGCTTCTAATAAAATGAGATAAACAGATTTATACTTCTTCAATTTGTGTGAATATTTCTGATGTTTTATTGACGTCTCGCACGAGAGAAGATCTGGTACAGTTTAAATATTCAGTGCGTTATATGCATCGGTATAGTCTTACACACACACACACACACATATATATATACATATATATATATATATAATTTATATACATATATATATATATATAATTTATATACATATATATATATATATAATTTATATATTATATATATATACGGATATATTTTTATTATACAGGATATATATATATATAATTTTATATACATATATATATATATATATATATATATAATTTATATATTTATATATATATATATATATATATATATATTATATATTATATATATATATATATATATATATATATTCGATACACATATATATATATATATATATTTATAACAAATAAATATATATATTTATATAAGAGAATTTCAACAAACATTCACTCTGTTTACACAGGGAAGATTTGCGATCACTTCAATATAAAAGAATCCAGCACCTTGAGATGATATAACGAGTGCAACCGGGACAGAACAGTGAACCAATCAGCACTAAAATTATTGGCACATCCTCTGTTATTTAATAGGTGCTCACATATGGCGGAACCATAGTTGTTTTGGGACACGTCCATTCAAAGATAAGTTTCTGATTCCACATCTTGTTGGGAATATGACTGTTTAATTCCTTGTCCAGGCATTCTATATTCTCCCATGTAGTCAGCATCGTTACTACAATTTACATTTGTAAACAATGGAATTAATTTGATGCAAAGGGATTTATCCTTGCACCCATTGAATGAAACATAGGCAGGGTTTGGAAAACTATACGGACTTGATTTCTTCTAAACCAAAAACAAAACAACGACGAACATTAGCTGAATTCAGCCTTATTATGTATTCACACTTGGATCCAAACCAGGGCAATCTAAGATAAACCGGTTGCTTCGCTTTTAAAATGTCTTGTAACATTAAGCTATACACTTTCATTTCTGTAATTACATTTTGTACCTTCAAAAATATTTTCTTATATAATAGTGGCCTGACGAATGCGTCTAGCATTAAACACACTGTCGCCTATAAGTGTTGATTTCAATGTTCACCTTTATATTTACACACGCTCTATCTTTGATATTGAGAACTTTATCCCATAAATATACCACGCCCTAAGACATATATATATATAAAGCAGTACATTTTCATAGAAAAGAAATTACTAATGCTCCCAAGAAAATTAAATTTCAGCATTAAAAATCCCATAAGCAGTTGATATGCCTCTAAAAAAAACAAACGTTGTTATGCAATGGTGAAATATGCAATAGCGAGCTGAAGAAACTTGCCAAAACGTAATTTGCGTATTTTTTTCTTCTGTTTCTTCTGGGTTTCTTGGACACCGTGACCTGATATTCCAATCTGTTTAGTAATTTTGCATTGGCATTCTTTGTGACATTTTGATAATTGCCATCTTCATCTCCGAACTCATTCTTCCCTCTTCGAAATTTAAATCTGCTGCACGAAAAAATCAAATTAATGCTCCAGAATCTGTCTGATCATTTAACATGGGAAATTTGCATGCATATCTGGGATCATCATAATCGTTACGGGGTTTTAAGAGGATTTGTATTTCAGGTGCCGCGTCCCTTCAGAACCTCAACGATAATGAATTTTTGACAAATCATGAGTAATCTTTGGTTTTTGGTATCACACCTAGTCCCTGTTCTGCCAATCATTTACACAAGCCCGTCAGCAGAATTATTCGCTGCTTTCCCCTGTCCATCCTGTGAGTGTGAAATTATCCAAACCCTCTTTCCTCGTTATATGCTATGCACATTTATATCGTCTATTTCTGAGTCTAAGTAGAAATCTCTTTTCTGTTTCTATTTTGCTTAAAAATTTGTTGTTCACATGTTC